ACAATAACATACATAACTATAAAAAAATTTCAACTTAAACGACAAATATATAACAATTTTCCAAGTTATACGATAAATATACAAACATTTTCTTTCTAATTATATAAAATAAAATTTTCTAACCATATAAACAAACAATTTTTCAAATAAAACGACAACTAATTAACAATTTTCTAAGTTATACGACAAATATACAACTAATTTTTAACTTTCATATTATATAAAATATATTTTCTAAACATACTATAAAATCTTTTCTACTAATACACTATTGTACACATATTATAAAAATTTTTCTAACCATACTATAAAAAAATTTATACTTCAAAAACAAATATATACAAATTTTCAACTTATACTACAAATATATATATATACAAACGACTATTGTACATATACTATAATATAACCATTTTTTAATTTATAAAAATAATTACATGATAAGAATATACAATTTTTCAAGTTATACAACAACTAACAAACGACAAATACATATTCTAACCATGCTATATCAATTTATCAACTTAAACCACTAACCAAAACATATTGTAAACATTATTCTAACAATTTTATTTAACTAATAACTTAAAAAAAATGAGCATATTCTAACCATTTTACTAAATATACAACCACCCGATGCACACTCTACGCAGTATCTACTTGTACATTCATACAACCACTAACAAAATAGTATTTAAACTTCAATTTTATTAATAACAAATGTTAAAACTATCAAATACAATAAAATTACAATATCACAAACAATATAATTTCATTTTTTTACAGTAACTAATACAATAAATAATAAAATAATAAAGACATATACTAAATAAATGTTAATTAAAACATAAAAATAATTAAAATCTAACCATATTTGCGGGATTATTGAAATAATCCTCCATTTTCTTTAAAAAATCGTTAAAAGAAATCCCCGAAAGAAAGAGGTTTTCTGTATTGAAGAATGAAAAATAAAGAAAAAAACATTTTATAGAAAATTCTGCATAAAATCGCAGATGAATAGTAAAAATTGTAGATGGAAAGCAAAATCGCAGATAAGTCTGAAATCACTAGCTAATTTTGCAATTTTAATTTTTTTGGCTAAATTGTAAAATCATTAGTGTATTTGGCTAATTTTGTGATTTTTTCTATAAACAAACACCCAGTTTTTAAATTTGCGAGAGATTATTATATCGTGTTGTTGGATTATAAAGTTAATGAGATATACTAAAATGCCAAGATCAACCCTTAACTAACAAGAAAAACAGGCGTTGTGTTGGAGTTGGACTGTTGGCTCTTCTAAATAAAGAATAATGCCATTGTTGTAGTATGAATTGGTACATCATCGGCCCACACGCGTCCGGGAAACGCAGACCCGCGAGGATTTGAAATCTTGTGGGTAAAGGTAATCGCAAAACTGTATCTCGGCGGCAAATTTTCCGTCCGTCCTTGCTTCTATTCAACGTAATCTCCGTTTTCTCTTCTCCCCAATCAATATTTCCCCCTTTTTCGTTTGGCATAGAATGATTTTATAAAGTAAGCGGTGAGATATGATTTCAATAACATTGAGGGGTTGTTTCGATTTTGCAGTCCTGGTAATCTCACGTCTCAAAGTCAACCGGAAGATCCATATGTTCTTCTGGTAATTCTTCCGTATAGTTCGATTCTCGTATATTCTAGGGTTGTAATCTTAGATGGATTTTCTCATCTGGCTACTAATCGCAATCGGTGCCTTGTAATAAATTGAAGCTCATTAGTTTGGAAGTGTTAATTTTGCTTCAATTGCAATTCCGAGAAGTGCCTTTGCCCATCACAATCTTATAACCTACTGTTCTTGTTTACGACTAGTTTAAAGCTTAGTCCCTTTACCTTGTATAACATTGGATGAATTTATTCATTAGATTAACATATAACTAATGGGCTTACTATCTCAGGGGTTCTCAAGAACAACAAGCTGATGCTGATCCAAGGCCACAGGAAGTTTCAACAAACTCATGGTATTCTCCCTCATCAAGTTCTTCTTCTCGTCCCTCAACACCCAATTCCATCAATACCATGCAAAGGCCTGGAGATCAACCTCAACCTCATTTATTATCTCCTGTTTCTCCTACAGAGGCTGCTGCCATAATTGTTTTATCTAAAAGACAAAAGGTAACATTCTTATTCACGAATATAACATGTTCCAACATCAAAACATTTTAAAGGATATGCATATAATATACCATACAACATAAATGCATAATAAATACTTCAAATGACATTAAACATCACACCTCATGTTTCTTGTTAAGTATGTTTTCACCATCTTTTCTAACTAAACTGTCATTTCATGGGTGAAAAGTGCTGATGAGTTGAGGAAACTTTTGTCTGACAAAGAGGCTTATCAACAATTCTTGCTTTCACTTGACCTTGTCAAAACTCCAAATAATGTAAGCTTCACACATTCATAACTTCTTCTATCTCCTATTATATATATATTCCATCCTTATATATTTTAACATCTTCATGAAACAGTTAAGAGATGAACTCCGGAATGAAACTCTGCAACTTGCTAGTAAGCTTCTACTTATACTCATAAAGATTCAATGTGTGTGGAAAAAGTTTTATAAAAGTGAGATTTTTTATTTTATTTTGCAGGAGAAAACTTGGCAAAAGAATCATGTATGACAGAATTGCGCAACCAGTGCATGATCATAAGGACAACTGAATTGGCAACTGCTGAAGAGAAGCTAAATGAGCTCAACAGACAAAAAGCAGAAATCCTCAGATCTTACTCCCCAGCTTCTTTGTTACACCAGCTTCAAGGTAAATAAACTCTTGTACGTTTGTTTTTCATTTTTGAGGTGTTGTTAATTTAGTGTGAAAATGGGGTGTGTGTGTGTGTGTGGGTGTTTCAGAGCTGATAAATAAGACAGATGAAGAATCTGAAATGCTGCATAAACAGCTACTTGAAAAGGAGATGGATGTTGCAAGTTTTGTTCACAAGTACAAGAAGTTGCGTGTGGATTACCATAAACGTGCTCTCACACACCTTGCAGCCACTACATCTTTGTCGGGTTAACCGGTTTCTTTTTTGAAGTTGAACATTGCTACAAGTAACATTTTGTAATTACAAGAGATTTCATTTTGTTGCATTTGTAAATTTGTTGAATCTTTGAAAAAGAACCAAGGTCTTGTTTGTTTTTGACTTAAATGGGACATGAATTGGGTGGTGTTTGTTTTTTTGAGAAAGATTTTCTTCATCGCTTATGTTTGGCTTGTTTGCGGGCCTTCCAAACATATGTGAAAAAAAGCGTTTGTTTTTTTGAAGAGACAAAAGACATAAAAACAGAAACTTATGTTAGTCCTAATTCTTTTACAAACTTGCCTCATGTGTTTTTTCACTTTTTATGTATTTACCTTTAGAGTGATTGGTTTTGGGACTTTGGGCAATGGCCAAAGCCGTTTTGCTGAGGTGGAGGCACCTCAACGTTGGTATAACACCACCAATACCCTCTCTGGTTTCCGTTGCCAGTAACACCTCTCAACACTTGTTTTGCTTTCTTCCTTGCTCTGTTTTCTTCTTGCGTTTCAAAAATGAACACCATCCCTTTAGATGTTATGGAGAGAAGATGATGATGCAGCAACCATAATGTGGGTATAGGCATGAGCAATACCCATCGGTCTTGGTTGGTTAGAGAGTATATATATATATATATATATATATATATATATATATATATTATATATAATATATATTATATATATATATATATTGTATCATTTTTTCAATTTTATTTTTCTTTTATTTGTTATTTCAAACAATCTATCACTCGATTTTTTGGCGAGTTCACCCATTTTACAAGTTACCTTCCTATAATATTATTATTTGTTTATGTGGCGTTGATTAAATAACAAAGTGTCAATGATATAATTTTCGCTTTTTTGTCATTTTCCAAAGAGTAAATTACACAAATGGTCCTTATAGTTTGGGGTAATTTAAATGTTTGGTCTTTAATTTATTTTTTTAATTTAGAAGGTCCCTACAGTTTGTTTTTGTTGCAGGTTTGGTCCCTTTCATACTTAAAAAAACTATTTTGGCCTTATTTTTAATTTATTTAAATAATGTTGGATAAGTAAAGTACGGTGGTATGATATGGAAGTGAGGTTGGGGGTGTATTTTTTTAAATAAATAAATAAATCAAAGGCAAAATAGTATTTTTTAGGTAATACGGGAACCAAACGCACAACAAAAACAAACAGTAAGGATCTTTTGAGTTTAAAAAAATATAAGTTAGAGACCAAATGTATAAATTATCCAAAACTATAGGGACCATTCGTGTAATTTGCTCTTTTCCAAAACATTAGAAAACTTTTGGTAGAAGTTGTTGTTTTTTTACAAAAATATTTTCTAACGCATCACTTTTTTATGGCGCAACATTTTATTTTTCAAAAGACTTCAACCAAAAAAACATTCGGCGTGTTCTTATCCGGTTAAGATTTGACTTACCCTTTTCAAACCGTTTCTAGGAATGACAACAGGGCGGGGTATGGTTTTTCCAAACTCGTCCCGATATTTTTCGAGTATCTTATCGGGGCGTCCCATTGGGTTTCGAGTTTTCCCGTCGGGTTTCGAGTATCTTATCAGGTTTATAACAATTCATAACAAAATCTTTATTCCGTTTTAGGATGCTCCGATGTCATATAAGAAATACATGTTCTAGCATTCCTTTTAAATTAAAAATGATGCATCACTTTAAAAAAATAAAGTGGACGTTATATTAAAAATTATGTGATTTAAGTTTTGTATAATACGTCAAAACATAAATAATTATTAATAACTAAAAAAATTATTTGATTTAAGTTTAGTGTAATATGTCAAAACATAAAAAATGATTATTCACACCATATTTTTAAAAACTAAAAAGATTGTCCACAGTAAGTATTTTATATTTAAATGCGTGCAATTAACATCAAAATGATTTGTGTGTGTATATATATAAAATCGGAGCGGGGCGGGGCGGGGCGAGGAGAACCCACTCCCTGCCCCGAACCCGATAATGACCCGTTACCCGACCTGAAATGATATGTTTTCGAGTTTCCTTGTCGGGTTCGAGCTTTTTTGCCATCCCTAACCGCATCTAACCTAAAGCCTAAAAAAACGCCGCTCTCTTTCCTTCCCCCATCGAATCCGTTTTCTTCTTCGGTCAAGATCGACGCTGCTGCCTCACATCTTCACAGCGCAGTCGCTGCTCAATCCCTCCGTCGGCGTTGATTGTTCTTTGGCTTCCAGAAATCGACATTTATATCATGAAAGACAGGAGTTACATTTTTGTCTCTTACACTCTCACAACAATCTCTTCTAGGTGTTTTTCCTATTCGGTTTCTATTAAAATTTCACAGAATTGATAAATCTTCTGTGGTTGATATGTCGTCAGTTGGGCATACTTTGATATGTTTACGGAAGAGAATAATCAAATCAGGTCATACTGTTTGGAATAATGAGTTTTTGAAATTTTTGTTGATTTAACTTATTAATTACTCCATACGTTCCAAAACCAGATATCGATTTCTTGTAATTTTATGATTTAAAATGTATCCTAATATTATATAAGAAATCATTAGCGACTTTCTCAAAATAAACCGGTGTGGAAAGAGTAATTTTGATCAATTATAGTGATTACAACGGTGTTTCAGTTTGTACTGAGTTCCATCTCATGGGATTTTGGGCAAATTGTTAAACATTTTCTTCATTTTTTATGTGTTCGGGAGAAGGATGCATTTGCACGAAAAGATTTGGATGATATAGTTGAAAAACTTGTTCAAGATCCATATGAAGGAAACCGGTGGCTTTTTCAGTTATCATCAAGCCTTATCAAAATTCACTAAGAGGTAATTATGACATAAACATGCCAATTATTGTAATTGAAAGAAAAGTGAAGAAAGTTGTTGGGAGCTAGAAAGCCTTTTGAAGAATTGTGGATGTGAAGCAATGACAATAACAAATTATTGGCATAATGGAGGAAATGGTGTGCAACGGTCTATAGCGGTCGTTTGTTGCGGTGGTTTTCCGATTTACAGATGAAGTGGAGATGACAATATCGTCACCTGAGGAAGAGAAAACATGTAAGCATGTACACATTGGAAGCATGATGGTGGCAATATCAAATGGAGGAAGCCTTCAGCAGCCAAGCGTTACATGGAGCAAAACCATTAGAGAATATAGGCGGTGGAAGCGGTGAATCAAATGAAAAGCTGATTATCGGCTGAATAAAGCGGTTAGCCGATGTACATACTCGACTCTCTCGGATACTGTTTACAAGCCAACTCCATTTTTCTTGTATATATAATATGTTAAAAAAAAAGTATATTAATTATTGATATCTCATTGAGGAATTGAGGACCACTTTTGAACAAAAAATAACGTTACAATTTACATCGATATAATATTAATTGTAATGGTTTATATGGCGTAACTAATGACATGTTTGGCATGGAACGTTTGGGAGCTTCTACTTTCTATCGTTTGATAAAACGTTCCATTTTAAACCAAAAGTTTCGCTTGACACTACAAACTTTTTAACGTTTGGTTTAAACAAAAAACTCCGGATCTAAAAGTTATATCATATAGCATTACTAGCTAGTTTTGTCTAACACGTCCTAAAAGGATAATAACAGGCACCAACATAGATGATCTTACGTCTAAACCGATTTTAGAAAAATAAAATGCAACTTCTCACGTACAAGTGTAACAAATGATAATCGATCTAAAAAACTAAAAACTAGTCCGCTCCAGATTACATATCCGGTTTATTTAGCCACCTTTTAACGGGGCTGGGCTCCATTTGAATACATTGTTTAATCATCGGGCCTGCAATTTGGGAATTTTAAGCCGGACTATCTGATGCCCAATCCATTTGGCACTTACCTAATTAATCAAGGTTTATATATATATATATATATAATAATATATATATATATATATATATATATATATATATATATATATATATATATATATATATATATATATATATATATATATATATATATATATATATATATATATATAGGGTAAATTACACGAATGATCCCTATGGTTTAGGGTAACTTGCGCGTTTGGTCCCTAACTTATTTTTCTAACTCCGAAGGTCCCTACTGTTGTTTTGTTACACGTTTGGTCCCTGTCTTACATAAAAAGTATATTTTTCCCTTGATTTTTTAATTTATTTAAATAAACACACCCTCAATCTCATCCTCTCTCCTTATCTTACCTACTCTATCATTTTTCTCTATTTAAATAATTGTCTTTTTACGTAAGATAGGGACCAAACGCGTAACAAAAACAAACAATAGGACCAAATGTGTAGCAATAACAAACAGTAGGGACCTTCTGAGTCAAAAAAATAAGTTAGGGACCAAACGTGCAAATTACCCCAAACCATAAGGACCATTCGTGTATTTTACTCATATATATATATATATATATATATATATATATATATATATATATATATATATATATATATACTAGTCGTTTACCCGCGCCAAGCGACGGTTGCAAATAGTTTTTAAAAAAATTAGTTTATAGAAACTATTAGTTCTTTTATGCAAATAATCATTTACCTATGTGAAGCAGTGGGCGGTGAATAGCTTGTTTCGGTAATTAGTTTCATTTCGGCGGATTAGTTTCAATTCATCGATTTATTTGTTTTAAGAAACACGTAAAATTTAAAATAACACACGGTGTTAATATCATTAAGATTAGTTTCAATTTAGTGATTCGTTTTTTTTTTTTTTTCTGAGGGACAGTGTATTCTTCAATGTATTTGTCGCTTTTGTGTATGTTGAATCTTTTTGTCAAAAAGAGATAATTTCTAAAAAATAAGAGTTCTTCGTTATTTTGGAAAAAATAAAATTTTAGAAAAATCGTTAAACTAAACACATTTTCAAAATTTTCATTTTTTCTTAGAAAATTTTTCCGGATAAAAGTACATTTTGAGTTTTAAAAAATAAAGTCTATTTAAAAAACGTTGTTTTGGTTTAAACAAAATATATTTTGGGTTTAAAAGAAGAAAAAACATCATAAATGGTCCCTGTGGTTACCCAAAATATGAAGTTTAGTCCTCGTGGTTTAAAAACCTCATAGATGGTCCCTGTGTTTTCAAAACTTTTGACGATTGGTCCTTATTGCTAACTCCGTTAACTTTTTTCCGTTAATTGAAGGGCATTTTCGTCATTTCATACCACATGG